AAATATGCTTTATCTTATTATACTTGCCTAACAACTATACAGATCTACTTAAGTGAACTCAAAAACAAACAGCTCTATAGATCACAGAAGTAAAAAACAAAAATTAAAATAGTATAATACTAGGTAATTTTAATACAAATAAATTAAAAAAAGACAAAATATTACCATCTTTTCATACCTTACTGCAAACTATTACTTAAGTCTTATAAACTTATTCAATATTACAACTCCAACTTAGAAATATAAAAATAGTCATAGTAGTATTGATGATATATAAATATCAACTAATCTACTACAGAACAACTTTGACTGAAGCAACTAATATTACTAACAATAATTATATTATTCTATCTACTACTTGGTATACAAACTTCACTTGTTCAAATCCTCAAAACAAAAAAAAGAAAAGAAAATTCTTCTTTATAAGAAAATAAGTAATAAAGATTAGAAACAATTTGAAAAAACTATTCAAAATAAAATGCTAATACAATTAAACAATAACTCTATTACATATAGAATAATATTAAACAAATAATAGCATATATAGTCTGCTATAATTAAAAAGGCAATTAACAAATATGTTCCATGTATCTACAAAATACTTAAAGCTTTTAATACTCTATCACTAAAAGCAACTAAACTATATTTGGCTTTAAAAAATATTAAAAAAATATCTGTATTATATTGTAATTAGAACTCCTTTTCTGTCACTAGATATTCAAATTTTGAACACATACCTACAAAAAGCTGTAACTCTAGCTAAAATAGAAGTAGAACTTCTATTATCAGAAACATTTTCAGCTATACCAATTCCTAATACTATACTTACAATCTATATCAAAACACTACAAGATCTTAAACAGCTAAAAAACACTATTTGAAAAAGTTGCAATATAGAAAAAAATCTAGAGCAATCAGAAAGAATAAAATTCTATACAGATATGAGATCGCTATTGAAAGTAGATGTTTTAAAATTTCATTAGAAATACCTAAAAGACCTGTAGCCTTGTTTTTAGGTGATGTATTAATTGTTGATATAATCTCTTGTATAGTAAAAGGTAAGAGCATAAAG